CCCCCACACACACACACTCACACTCACGCACCTGAGAGCAGCATGGGATCTTTCTCCACGGATTTCCGCACATGGTCTGATTCCCCGGTCAGGGAGCTCTCGTCAATCTTCAGGTCGTTCCCCTGGATCAGAATCCCGTCAGCAGGGAGCAGGTCGCCTGGCGAAGGGGAGAAAATGGCCCACATGAGACCTGTGTGTCCCTCTGCCCTGGTGTCGGGCCTCCCTGGATCTGCCCCCCACATGGGACCTGCATAGCCCAGATGGCACCCACATGCCCCACAAGCCCTTCTCAGATCACACCAACATGCCTGTGGCGAACTGGGCCTGTTCTCAATGTGCTGGTTGAATGCTGGGTGGGGAGTGTGGGCCGGGGAAGGTTGCAGGGGGGGTTGGCTGGGGGGCTGCATTGGGGGATGGGAGACGGGCCTGGAGGGAGGATACCCTAACGTGAGAACCCATGAGGGGGCTGGGGCCAGGTGACACCTTTGCCCAGGAAACTGGACAAAGCCTGGGGGAGGAGCCGGGGTGAGACGCTGGAGGGAGTTAGGTTTTCAGGAGCTGGCTGGTGGAATGGAGGGGAGCCCAGACGGGCTCTGATCTCCCAATGGGGCTGTGGACCTAATTGGGGGGGGACCTAATTGGGGGGGGTCCTGTTGTCTGTGCCTGCAAGACCTGTCTTGGGCCGTGTTCCTGTCGTCTAAATAAACCTGCTGCTTTACTGGCTGGCTGAGAGTCGTGGGGAATCGCAGGAAGCCGGGGGTGCAGGGCCTGGTGTCCCCCCACACTCCGTGACAATGCCCATCTGCCCCAGCATCGGGCCGCCCCAAGATCAGACCCCCTGTGCCCTCGGCCCAGTCATTGTGGATCTTGACCCATGAGTCCCTCTGCCCCCCAGATGGGACCTGCATACCCCTCTGCCCCCGAGGGTACACACATGCCACCTGGGATCAGAGCCACATGCCAATCTAGCCCTTCCCAGATCAGTCCCACGAGCCCCTCTGCCACGGTGTTGGGATCACCCCCTCCCTGCAAGTCCCGCTGCCCTGGCCTCTGGGCTGCCCTGGATCACCCCCCGAGCCCGGCATCGGGGCGCACTCACCGTATTTGATCTGGGCGATGTCTCCCACCACCAGCTCGGCCACGGGGATCTGGATCTGCTGCCCATTGCGGACGACGGCGAATTTCTGCTCCTGCTCGATGCGGCTCTGGAGCCCCCGGAACTGCTTCTCCTTGCTCCAGTCGTTGAAGGCCGTGACCAGCACCACGCAGATGACGGAGAGCAGGATGGCCGCCCCCTCGATCCAGCCGGCCTCCGACTCGCCCTCGTCCTCCGCCCCCGCGGCCAGATTCCCACAGGCTGCGCCACACCACGGGGCAGGACCAGGGTGGAGCAGGAGAGAGAGAGGGAATGGGACAGGAAGGAGGAGTTGGAGGTCAGGCCAGAGCCAAGGAAAGGGAACATGCATTGAGGCTGACAGACAGGGACAATGGAGGGGGAAGTCCCCCCACATGGTCCTGCTCCCCTCCCCCCACAGGCCAGGTGGCATTAGGGTGGGGAGCCCCCAGCCAGGGGTGGGAAGGGTCTGCAGTGGGGGAAATGTGTCAGGGCATGGGTGGGCTGATGGATGAGCACAGGGATGGGGCAGGGGATGGATGGATGGCCGGATAGGTGGGCGGACCGCTGGCCGGACGGATAGATGGGTCAGTGGTTGGATGGACGGATGGATCAGCAGACGGACAGGTAGGTCAGTGGTTGGATGGATGGATGGATGGATGGATGGATCAACGGACGGACGGGTGGGTCAGTGGATGGACGGATGGATGGATGGGTCAGTGGTTGGATGGATGGATAGCTCAGCGGATGGACGGGTGGGTCAGTGGACAGACGGATGGATCAGTGGTTGGATGGACGGATGGATTAGTGGACTGATGGGTGGGTCAGTGGATGGACGGATGGATGGGTCAGTGGTTGGATGGATGGATCAGCGGATGGATGGGTTAGTGGATGGATGGACAGATGGATGGATGGGTCAGTGGTTGGATGGATGGATGCATCAGCGGACGGACGGTTGGGTCAGTGGATGGACGCATGGATGGGTCAGTGGTTGGATGGATGGATGAGTGGATAGACGGGTAGGTCAGTGGACGGATGGATGGATGGGTCAGTGGATGGACAGAGAGATGGATGGGTCAGTGGTTGGATGGATGGATGGATCAGTGGACGGATGGGTGGGTCAGTGGATGGATGGATGGATGTATGGATGGGTCAGTGGTTGGATGGACGAATGGATCAGCGGAAGGACGGGTGGGTCAGTGGATGGACAGATGGATCAGTGGTTGGATGGATGGATGGATCAGCGGACGGACAGGTGGGTCAGTAGATGGACGGACGGATGGATGGATGGGTCAGTGGTTGGATGGACGAATGGATCAGCGGATGGACGGGTAGGCCAGTGGATGGACGGATGGATGGGTCAGTGGATGGATGGGTGGGTCAGTGGACGGACGGACGGACGGATGGATCAGTGGTTGGATGGACAGATGGATCAGCGGATGGATGGTGGATGGGTCAGTGGTTGGAAGGATGGATGGATCAGCAGACGGACAGGTGGGTCAGTAGACGGACGGACGGATGGAGCAGATGGTGAAGCGGTTGGATGAACAGGTCAGCAGCCGAATGGACAAGCGGATCAGCAGCCGGATGGATGGATCAGCAGATGAATGGATGCACTAATTGATGGAGGAGCAGACGGATAGATGGATGGGTCAGCAGATGGCCGGCCAGATGGATCAGTGGCCAACCAGATGGATGGAGGAGTAGCAGATGGACTGATGGGACAGCGAATGGATGGACGGGCAGGTCAGTGGATGGACAGATGGATGGAGGAGAAGCAGTTGGATGGATGGAGGGATGGATAGAGGAGTAGCAGAAAGACGGATAGATGGGTCAGTGGACAGACGGATGGATCAGCGGGTGGATAGATGGATGGATGGAGTAGCAGATGGATGGAGGGACGGATCAGTGGATGGATGGACGGACGGATTAGTGACCATATGGATGGATGAATGGGTCAGTGGATGGATGGATGGATGGATGGACGGATGGAGTAGCAGATGGATGGATGGAGGCGTAGCGGATGGACGGACCAGCAGGTGGACGGACAGATGGAGCAGCGGGTGGACAGAGGGAGTAGCAGCAGACAGATGGATGAATGGGTCAGCAGATGGATGGACGGATGGATCAGAGGATGGATGGATGGAGGCGTAGTGGACGGACGGACCGGCGGGTGGATGGACGGACCAGTGGGTGGACAGGTAGGTCAGTGGATGGACGGATGAGGAGTACCAGATGGACGGATGGATGGGTCAGCGGGTTGATAGACGAACGGACCAGCGGGTGGATGGATGGAGGAGTAGCAGATGGACGGATGGACAGACCAGCAGGTGGATGGGTAGGTCAGTGGATGGACGGATGGAGGCGTACCAGAAGGACGGATGGATGGGTCAGCGGGTGGACGGACGGAGCAGCGGGTGGATGGACGGATAGAGCAGTGGGTGGACAAGGGAGTAGCAGCAGACGGATGTATGAATGGGTCAGCAGATGGGTGGATGGATGGATCAGCGGATGGATGGATAGAGGCATAGCGGATGGACGGGTCAGCGGGTGGATGGATGGACGGAGCAGCGGGTGGAAGGACAGGTCAGTGGATGGACGGATGGAGGCGTACCAGACGGACGGACGGAGCAGCGGGTGGACGGGTAGGTCAGTGCATGGACGGATGGAGGCGTACCAGACGGATGGACGGATGGGTCAGCGGGTGGATGGACGGACGGAGCAGTGGGTGGACGGGTAGGTCAGTGGATGGACGGAGGGAGGCGTACCAGACGGACGGATGGATGGGTCAGCGGGTGGATGGATGGACGGAGCAGCGGGTGGACAGAGAGGTCAGTGCATGGACGGATGGAGGCGTACCAGACAGATGGACGGATCAGAGGAGGAACGGTCATGTCTCCCTCATCCCGCTTTGCAGCCCCGTGACCCAACCACACCTGAGCTACCTCCCAGGTGTGGAAAACGCCCCCCGCCCGCCTCCTTCCTTCCCCACACCGAGCTGCTGACCCTGGGATCTGGCCCCATGGAGACGGCCCCGCCCCATCTTGAGGGGGGGACGCCCCAGGTTCTGGGAGCCCCCCAGGCAAGGACTGACCTTCGGTCTCCTCTCCCGGTGGGGCGTAGAAGGACAGCGCCAGGGAGATGATGGCTGCGATCTCCAGGATGATCAGGGTCACGTCCTGCAGAGCCTCCCACACCAGCTGCAGGAAGGTCTTGGGCTGCTTGGGCGGGATGAAGTTCTGGCCGTAGATCTGCCGCCGCTTCTCCAGGTCGGCCGCATTGTCCGACAGGCCTGAGCAGGGGCAGAGAGAGGGAGGATGAAGGTGGAGCCCAGATGCCTAGGTTCTCTCCTCGGTTCTGGGAGGGGAGTGGGGGCTAGTGGTTAGAGCAGGGGGGGCTAGAAGCCAGGACTCCTGGGTTCTCCCCCCGGCTCTGGGGGGGGGGCCGGGGGCTAGTGGTTAGAGCAGGGGGGCTGGGAGCCAGGACTCTGGTGTATTTCACTGCAGGTCCCAGAGCCAGGTCAGTGCGGTGGAGAATTTGCCGATGGTCCCTGGGCTGCGGCTGCTCCCTGGGACTGGTGACATTTTAAATATTTAACGAGCTGGCAGGTGAGAGCGGGCGGAGGGGGGGGCAGGGCCACCTGGGGGCCTTTGATCACCCAGGGGGTCGGATCCTGTCCTGGGCAGCTGGGCCCCCGCCCCCCTTTGAAATGAATGAACCACACAGGGGCGCTGGGCTGCACAGATGTCACAGAGCGAACCCAGGAGTCC